AATGCGCTCGTGAGCGGAATCACCCCGGAATTTGAGTCAAGCGATAACCAACAAGACTCAACCTTCGGTGTAGACTCGCATGAAATCACGGAGCACCATCTCCAGGCAGCCTTGTCATCAAACCAGGTGGAAGCCACCGGTGGCCCTGGCGTCTCGAAGAAGTCGTACCATATTCCTACTCCTAAAAGTGTTGAGGTACTATCACAGGCCCAGTACAATAAGGAGTACCCGACTGGTGCTTATTCGGACCCAGTCACCTATGTTCGTTTTTCCGATACTGTCGAGACGACAACGCAAGGTCCATCCTATTGCATGGATGATGATGACAAGGGCTGGCTCGATAAACACAATGAAAAGGCTCGGGAAGAAGCTCAACGAGTCGAGAAAGATTCCAAGAACAGCGAACAAGCGCAGTACAAAGTGTTAGTGAAAAAGGATGCTGCAAAGTACACGATTATTTCGGAAGATGAGTTCGAAACGGTCATGTTTGTTTTTGAACGTGCCACTTGCGAACGTCATCCACTCTTGGAGCTGGACATGTCCAAGATGCCGACTTTGGATGAGTTGCTGCATGAATTTGATGAGAAGTCTGCTACGTCAGCGTTGGCGCTTCCTGAATTGCCGGCGACGGATGTCAGCATCACTCAATTGGTCAATGGAACTTCGAACAAAACCACGAACGCCAAGAATTCAGCTCATGCGACAAACGCGGATAAGGGTAAAGCTCAAGAGCGCCAATTGCAGTGGTCTGTGAAGAACCCTTTTCGCCATTTATTTTTGCTCAAGTCATGTGCTTGCGCAATATATCCATGGTGGAAGCTGCGTCGTGAAGCTCGTGAAGGCAAACAGATTGTACCTCAGTTGAATTTTGATGAAAGCAACGAGAATGATCCATATGTTTGTTTCCGACGTCGCGAAGTAAAGAGTGCGCGGAAAACGCGGAAAACCGACACGCTTCAACTTGAAAAACTTGTTCGGCTTGAGTCGGAAATGCGACAAGCAACGTCTCTGCTGCTCATGGTTGCACAACGTGAACGATTGAAGGAACAGCAGGTGACAAGAGCTCGCTCTTGCTGGGCACAGGCCCAAGAGCTAATTGCTCTCAAGCGCAAGTGGGCAATTTTGGGTCCCAATAAAGGACAAGAGGATGAGAACCTGATCTTCTCTGTCCAGCCTGATCCCACTGCACCTGTTGCCGTTAACGCCGCGGCACAAAGCGCGCAGCTCAAGAAGAAGCGCAAAGCCGACGAGGCTTCTGCACCGACTACCCTTAAGATTCGTCGTCCCAAGACAGGCGATTCCGATCAAGCCGTCAACAAGACGGGAGCAGAGGCTGTGTCCAGCACATCCAATTCTGCTATATTGGATCGTATTCAAGCTGTTCAGACGTTCATCGAACGAGAATGTACCGCTCGACAACAGGCGGATGCTGGAATGGAAGATCTTACCGACTCTGCATTTCAACCCGTTTCGGCACCACCGTCGATCCGTGCATTCCGCCCAATCCAGTCAGACAACAACGATACCCATTTCTGGTCGAACCATCCATTTGCAAGACTCGGAAGGCAGTCATGTTTTCGTCGTCGTATGGGTCGTGGTGGTCGAATCTTTTTGGATCGCCGACCTGTTGTGGCAAGTCCTGCACCAGCGAACATTGGAGCTTGGCCACGTCAGCATCAAAATGGATTCCCACTTGCCACATTTGGCTATGGACGTCTGTCTGAACAAAATGTGCGGCGAAGTGACGGGGCGGGGCGCCCAATGGCTAGTGTAGATGCACTACGTTCTTATGCGCCTTTTGTCTATTCAACACGGGTTGCCCCAATGCTTTTGCCTACACCTGATCTTTCGTGGGATCCGCTTACATCAAAAGATCCTCGCGAGCCTTTATCTCACGACCCAACGTTCCACTTTGGGCGTCTTGACGAACGCAGCGGGGCATTCAATGTGACTCAAAACAGCGATGGTGACAGCACGTCTTCAGAGTCCACTGACCGTACTAGGAGCTCAGAGGAGTCTGGTGACGGTCAGAGTACGCAAGCCACCGACATTGATCAAGATGCCATGCAAGAAGACAAGCTGCAACCTGAGACGGAGTCAGAGGCAAAGCCTGAGGAATCAGTTGAGGAACAAATGGAGCGCGCACAGAAGCTTGCTGAGCGGTGGCGTTACGATGAAGATGGTGGACGATGGGCAGGCATGGGTCTGGTTGGCTTGGGTGGCATGGAAGGGGATGAAGAGGCGGTGCTTGACGACTTTGACCAACGCTTCATCCGCTATCGCATGTCGCTTCTCGACGAGTCTAACTTGCTCAAACTTTCAACTGATTGGACGTACATGCGGCAAGCGCTTATGGCAGCTGCTGCACCGAACACGCCAGCACTGAGCACTGTATCTGCACCAGTCACTGAATCGAATGGCACCAAATCTGATCGAGAGGGCACTGTTGCGCCCAAGAGCAAGAATTCCACGGCTGCAGTGCCAGCAAAAGCAGATTCTCCAAACCAGACAAAGGAAGCCAAGTGAGCGCTGAAGGCGGATATTCGTTACTGAAACACTATACCATTGTGACATTTTGCAATGTGACTTGCAAATGAGACACAATATACTGGTCGCTCCAGAAAACAAGATCAACTGTGATCGATTGTATGAATAAACCTTCTTTTGACCTTGATCAGCTTCATAACGAATGCTGGGCAAGGAAGCTGGGTGAATCTTTCCACGGATGTACAAGTATAGGGGTTAGAAGAAGTGTATTTTTAACCAGCTGTCCTGGCTATTCAAGATATAGATCATGTCATCTGTTCTACAGGAGTAGTTCGAGACATTCTAATGCAGGCTCTAAGAGTGCGCAATAGAATAGGCAGAGTTGAATAGTGCTATAGCGCATTAGAAGCCCGGCGGGCGCAGACCCTGTGTCTGACCACTGGTGCCTGAAGGAGGGGCCAGAGGGCTCGCGCCAGCGTTTCCACCGGTCTGCTGGGCCACGATCTCCTTTTCTTGGGCGGCAAAACGGCTCTCGTCTTCCACAGCAAGCGCGAAGGGCAAGCCAACCAGCAAAGCAGAAGTAACACCAATCCAAATCAGCTTACCGGCCACCCAGCCACCAAGAAAGCCGTACGCACTGCCCGTCTTCCACACTTTCGCAATGTTGGCGCGGGTAGACGGGGAGAGAATGTCCTTAAGTGCAGAAATACGGTCCCAAATCGACTCGTTTGCCAGCACTAGGCCGCGCTCTTCCACGTCATCGTCATCCGAGAGATCCTAACTGTTAGACTCTAGCATGTAACATACGTCATCGGTCTCAGCGTCAGTGGCCTCCCATTCATCATCCTCGTTTTCTTCGGCAATATCAAGACCTTGTTGCCTGATCTTGTCGGTTTCGTCTTGTACTTCCTCGATGCGCACCATAGTAGAATTGCTTGCGTCGCAACGAGAGCGATCGCCAGCGCTGCGGAAGTGACCGACAGATCACGTGAAATGACTTGGGGGCTACTCGAATGTCCTGTAAGCCGGCTCGCACGATACCATGAATGAGGAAAACATTGACGATGACGCGCTACTCTCAGGACTTCCGAGCTGGAAAGATAGTTTCCAACCACCTAAAAGATCTTCCGAAGTTTTAACGACACAGAAAGGTGTTGAGTCAACACAGCCCAAGCCCCAACCCAGTATAACTACCGTTACAGCCGATGATGACGCGCGGATGGCCCTCAGGATGGCGGCATTGAGAACCTTAAAGAAGCGAAAGGCTTCTCCGAATGTAAATCAGTTTTCAGTGTCATCCCCGTTAAGGGAGGGGTTCTTCGAAGCCCACAGTGACATGACTGAACAACACCCCACTAAAACTAACAATGACTCGCAAGAGAGGCGCCCAACGATTCCTAACTCTAAGAAGCTTCTCAAGCAGAATGCTGGAAAGCAATTGGAATATACCGATGTTGACGCCCCTCAAAATTCGTTTGAAACTGAGCCAACTCAGGCATTAGAGATGCTCCATTCGCGTGGAACAAGACAGAGGATTTCATATGCAGACGAGTACACTGCAAAAGTTGAACCACCTTCTGGAGATGTTGATGGAAATACTTGGGTTCATCGTTCGCTGGAAAACTCAGTGAGACTCAAATATCGCCAGCCAGACAACACTATGAAAGTCAAATCACAACAGCACAACAAAATATCCTCAGAGCAGCCAGCGTCATCGCATTCAACCACTCAATTTGTCCAAGAATCATGTTGGAGACCACTTATTATAGATTTATCGGACGAAGAGAATGAAGAAATTGACAATGAAGCAGAAGTTACAAACGAATTTCCTCGTCCGCCGATGGATTCCAGTATGCATATACAAGACGAAGCAAAGACGCTACAAAATTTTGATTCAAGAAATACTGACAACGAGCTTTTGCGAAAAGAAAAAGAAATCGAACGGATGCTTGCAAAGATTCAAGAGTTGGAGCAGAAGAAAAAAGCGTGTATTGCCGCCAAGCCAGACGAATCAAGGTTTCAAATGCTTGGGAAGAGATCAAGTTCAACGGGCGATAACTGTGCCGAGATGGATAAAGCTTCCGACTGTGCCTCCATGCAGAGTAGAGGCAGTGGGACACTAAAGGTATGTTTGATGTGCACCATATAACACACTCCACAGCGGCCTCGTGTACAAACACAGTCTACGTTGTCATGGCTTCAATCGCGTATAACAAATGTATGTTTAAAAGAAATATCCACCACCGCGGTTTGGAAAACCCAATTCTTGAGCATGTACTAACTAAACTTCAAAGATATCTGACTGGCTTTCAGAACATTTGCATAAACGGTCAAGCCAAGATAGCAAATCGCCCGAGGAGGCATGATCGGTAAAAAGTATATACGGGGTCAGGACATTTGTAGTATTAGTGCACCATTAAGCAAATGCTTCAGAAATACAAAGATACAGGAATGGTAGTAGCTACGCAACTTAGTACTTCACAACAAGGGACGAAGTAGAAAAATGAAAGTAATGCCCACTGGCTGGATCGAACAACCGACCTCGTCATGGCCTGACGGCCGTCTGCCTTTCGCAGGAGGTACTAGTGACGCGCTCTACCACTGAGCTAAGCGGGCTTAATATACTGTGTGTCAGCAAATATTGCATCTTTATTCAGTGCCCTGCATATCTTTAAGATAACAAAAGAAATGCCCACTGGCTGGATCGAACAACCGACCTCGTCATGGCCTGACGGCCGTCTGCCTTTCGCAGGAGGTACTAGTGACGCGCTCTACCACTGAGCTAAGCGGGCGCCCACGAATTCTGAGTCGAGGGTTGATACCCATGTAGGGTCAGATATTTAACGAAAGCGGAATGTTTGTGGAGACCCGTGTGCTTGGAGTTACTTGACCGTTGCAGATCTGTGTCAAATTTGGCAGTTGTACAGATCTTCAATGGCGGAGCTACTAGAAGGACAGAGGCATGACTTTGACCCAGTCGAGATTTCGGCACCTCATATAATCTATGTCGCCTTGGGTTTTTTCATTGTACTTGTGAGTATTCGTGTTTTCTCATGATCAAGTTTGGCATGTTTTCAATGCTTTTCAAGGAGCGGCTCTACTTGGGTGAAGCTCCGTTGGCACTGGTATTTGGCATTATTATTGGTGAGCTATTTTAGTTTACTCACACGTTAGGTCCAAGTGCTGCATCCATTTTTCATCCGAATACTTGGGGAGGTCATCCTACACAAGCACCTGGCACTGAAATTACTCGCGAGATCACTCTAGAAGTTATGCGCGTCTGCATTTCTCTATCAGTCTTCTCTGTGGGAGTTGAGGTATGTGACTTGTGTCTAACATTTCCAGCTACCCAAAAAATATGTGTGGCGACACTGGCGCTCTATTTCGATGTTGTTGGGCCCTGTTATGTTATGGGGATGGCTTATCACTGGTCTCCTGATTTGGGCCCTAATTCCGGGTATTGACTATCTTAGCGCGTGAGTATTAAACGCTCACAATGAGATTGATGATTGCCTCGTGTGTCTCACCGACAGATCCAATTCTCGCGCAAGCTGTCGTTGGTGGTCCATGGGCCGAAAAGCATGTTCCTGCACATATTAGACATATGCTTCAGTGCGAGTCAGGGTGTAATGATGGTGCTGCATTCCCTTTTCTATTTCTGGCTTATTACCTCACTGTGAATCGTGGTCAAGTGGGCTTTCCAGTGGGAAAATGGTTTTACCGTACGTATACTTAAGTTAACCCTTCAGAAACACTTCTTTATGAGGTATGTCTTTGCGTGGCAAACTAACATTAGATTGTTTTGGGAACACTTATTGGAGTGGTGATTGGATACCTGGCTAGAAAGCTGATCAGGTTCAGTGAGAAGCACAAATTGGTCGATCGAGAAAGTTTTGTCGCCCAATACCTCAGCTTAGCCTTGGCGAGCATGGGTCTTAATGTTTTGATTGGAAGTGATGATTTGCTTGCTGCGTTTGCCTGTGGCACAGCGTTTGCTTGGGACGGGTGGTTCCAAAAGCAAACAGCAGATTCTAATTTCTCAAGTATTGTGGATTTGGTATTCAACATTGCAACCTTCGTTTACATCGGCGCTGAGATGCCTTGGAGCCAGTTTAACAATGCTGAACAAAACCTCAGCGTGGGCAGACTTATTGGATTAAGTATATTGGTTTTGCTTCTGAAGCGCATTCCGATTGTTGTCGCACTATGGAAGTATATTCCTGATATCAAGACCTTCCATGAGGCTCTATTTTCTGGCTACTTTGGGCCTATTGGTGTTGGTGCCATCTTCATGTGCACATATGGACGCCTTATGCTACCAGAGAAGGTTTCAATTCCACCAGAAACGCCTAATGATGTCCTTACTGTCACAATTCAACCGATTGTATACTTTTTTGTCCTTACTTCTGTTATCGTCCATGGATTCACAATTCCATTCTTTGCTTTTGGTAAGAGGGCACATTTGAATTTGAACCGGACATTCACCCAAACTTTCACCATTACAGGAGGTGATTCAAGTTGGATGAACCGTGTTCGACGCTTCAATACCGCAGCTACTACCGAAATTCCTAAGCCTCAAGAAGGACAGTTACCTGTTGTGCAAGCAATGCAAGAGGGACTGAAGCGTCGAAAAGAACAAGGGCTTCCTGTTGATGAAGAAGCTGAAAAGGAAGTCGCCGCACAAGTATTGTCTGAAGCTTCAGATGAACCAGAAGGTAACCTTGCATCGAAACTTCCTCGCACAATGACAGTGGATGATGTTGAGGATGTGCAAATTCCTGATGCAGATGATTGGGACGGAGACGACACACCCGAAGCACGACGCTACAAAGAAAAGGCTCGACTGCAATCGGTTGGTGAGCAAGACATTGCCGATACTCATCGTCATGATGACATTGACTTGGAACGTCAGAGTATTGAAGAGGAAGATGAAGATTCGAAGCCGCAATATCCGCAAATTGCTGAATGGATTGAAGGCCATAATATTGTTGTTGACATTATCGAGAAGGAATTGGACGAGCCAGAGACCATTGTTATTCCTATTCATCCAGATGATTATGAGGCTATAAAGGAGTCACAAAGTCCGCTAAGATCCTTTATATATAAATACGAAAACAAGCTCTCTGGTTATTTGGACTGGCAAGAAAATCGGAAGTTGTCCGACTTGACTGTAAGAGAAATCCAGCAGAAAAATTTGGTGAGAAAGATTGCTGATATTACCCAAAAAGTTGAAAAGCGTCTTCAATCACAAAAGAAAAAACAAATTAATACTGAAACGTCTTCCATACATGATGGTCCTGAGGTGGTTTCCGTGCGCCCAGACGGAACTATTATACAGCCATAGAATGAATACAAAAATGCCGCCTGAAGCTAATCTTTAGTGCGCCGTCGATTGTCAGACGACCCTCCACACACAACGAAAGTGCGCATGCTCAAAAATTGACCACTTTCCGAGGACCATGCACGACAATCCGTGCACGCCGCATTTGAATGTGTATGGCCTTCTCATTTGCGATACACCTAATGCTGGACGGAGTATTTTTGCATCAAGACCTATTCCATCAAACACAGTGATTGAGATTAGCCCCGTTCTTCTTTTCCCTTCACAAGAATATTCTCAACATGGGAAACACACCATTCTGGACTCTTATACCTTTGTGTGGGAGCGCAGCAGTGAAGGAAGTACAATGGCCCTAGCTCTAGGACTGGGTTCACTATTTAACCACCATTCATCTAATGCAAATGTTTCTTACGAACTTGACAAGAAAACGAGTTCTATTAAATATCGGACTGTACGTGATATCATGGAAGGTGAAGAACTCCTAATCTGCTATGGGGCTGGGCGTATGTGGTGGGAGCCTTGTGAAGAAGAGAGTCCAAAAACACCGATAACGGAAGAAAATGAGTGCTTTCTTCTCGGAAACCTTGATCTGAGCGACGACTACCCAACTGAGCCGAAGCGAGCTCCTGTCGATACTGATTACAAGGCCCCATTGTGGCGCGTGACTGCATCACCCGATCCCAAGCGCATGAAGCTCGAAACTAAACGGGCATGGGCTGTGGATGTTCCTCCAAAAGCTTGTTCGACTATTGTCAAATCTCTTCAATCGTTGGTAAAAAATGGGACATTGCGAGCTGGCGATGCACACCCGCGCTATTCTATTCGACATCTGCGAAGCTTCCGAAAGACGAGAGAAGTCAAGAAATTAACAGAAGATGCATCCGAGCTTCCTGCAACAGATTCTGATGACTTGTCAATGCTTCTTTCTTTGGAGTCTGCCCACGGTAAAAAAGAATTGGTGTCTCTCTTGAAGGAAACATTTCCACAAATGGATGCAGATTGGAATCTGTATCTTGTAAACGTACCTACAGGACCTGCTCCTATGCGTGAGAGATTGTCCGAATGGTGTGCCGTGTGGCCATGCATGTTTTTACCACCCGGTGCCGGCTTCTCGTCAAAAAGTAGCATCCCTGGCAGTGATGCTGCACGTGCGGTTGTCCCTGTGGACCGTTTAGCTGACGAAAAATTATGGCAAGATAACGACAAGCTCGACTTTATTCGAAAAGCATTTGGAAAATGTCTTGCGACAGCTTCTAAGGCTAAAGAACAAGGTGAACTAGATGTTGGTGTTTTGGTAACAACAATTCCTTCGGATACCGATGGTGCTTCCTTCGAAGTGACGGCCCATGATACGCGCACAAGTACCAAACATCCCCTGAGACATGCGATACCCAATGCAGTGCGCCTAGTCGCGGATCTACGTGCTCAACAGCATAATGAATTCCCCACAAATACAGCTAATGGCCAAGATTATCTGTTGACAGGTTTGTCGTTGTTTATCACACATGAACCGTGTGTCTATTGTGCAATGGCACTTGTTCACTCACGCGTTAAGCGCGTCTTTTTTCTCTACCCATCTCCAGGCACTGGTGGTTTCTGTGGTGTTTCCAATGATGGCCAACCTATTTGTCACGGAATGCAAGATGGGGGCCCTTTCGCCATCCACGAACAAAGCGGTCTCAACCACAAATACGAAGTATGGAGATGGATTGATCCTGCTGACTTGGATGTCAGAGGCATCTCGTCGTCTTTGCCGTATGATTTGTGATCAATCCGCCTCGTCTTCGAAATCATTCTCTTCATAGTCATCATACCCATCATTGTAACTGTCCTCCTCGTCCTCGTAATCATCGTCCTCTTCCTCATCTAGCTCATCCTCTTGAGCAACAAATTCCTCAAGCGTCAGATCTCTAGTTTCCGAGTCCACGGGGCGAGGTTGAACCAAACCTTCAAATGTAGTGTACTGCTGCGGAAGAGCGCCTGACGTGGAAACAAGGCCTCCTTTGCTCGACGTAAGCAGCGGCAAGGTTGAATTTCGGAACGCAGACTGGATAGGTTTGACAGGAGATGTCGTGCTAGCACCGTAATCGACACCATTTGGTGTGGATGTGGCCAAGAAATTTGTGGCCTTCATTGGTTTGTCCTCCGAAGCAGGCAGCTCCAAGGGTTTGCTTTCGGGTTGAGGCGCTTGCATAGGTTGCCGGATTTGACGCAGCTCAATTGCCCCTTGTTCCAGAGTCTGTGTTGTGTCCTGCTTTGGTTCGCCTGCTTTTGT